ACTCTACCCAAAGCAGCCCAGAAGTGTTCTATACTCCACAGCAGAACCAACTGCTTTCCAGACTGAGGAAGCAGCACAACTGGCACTCTGCTTAAACTGTATCAGTGCAGGCTAACTTCAGCTTGGCTATCCAAAAACCCACATACTTCTCATTACCAAAACACTCCTCTTATTAAATTCTAACACATCTCAGGGACTGCTACAATCAGACAACACTTGATTTCATCCCACATATCAAAACAGAAACTACTTCTTGTTACCTACTTAGTGGGTGTCCAAATCAATTGGGTTTAGTTTTCGTATGTAAGCCAGAAAAATGCTTCCCCCTAATTAATCAAGTGTTTCAACCTGCTTCAATGTGAAGATAACTTTTTATTATGGGAATATGGAATTGTATGTTTTAAAAGTTAAATGAGGAAGAATTTCACAAATCCATGTCATTCTCTATTTGTGTAACAGAAGTATGAATGGTTTACACCTCTAAATATAACTGTCACAGGACCACATTCTTGAAAATAATGAAAAATAGCTGATTATTGCTTTTTCTGCTGATGCTATTAATCCCACCTAAAATCTTTTTCTAACAGTCCAATATAAGCACGAAAGTTATACCCCGTGTTATTTTCCAGAATATAATAGTCTAAAGCCTGTCAGGACAGGCATAACCTGAAACTATTCCAGCAAAAGTTAAACTAAATTGCTAAATAAGTGAGAAAATAATTTAATTCAGAAATCACATGAGAAACTGAATCTTACCCGTCTGCAAAGGCTGAAGCAATAACATGACAGTTTGGCACACTCGCTCTCCAGAGGTCTGCTCAATCTGCTCAAGTAAACCCAAAAAAAGTTCCTTTGGATTGCATAGCTGCAAGAGAGGAACAACATGTATGTTTTAATAATGATGGTCATAAGCTAAAGAATTCATCAGAAGCAAACTTCAAGACAGAAGTTCCTGGAAGTCAAGAAAGCAGGTCTGAGCATCCAAGATAATCTTTAAGCAAACAAAAATGAAACAGTAAGTGCTTCGTCATCTGTAGAGTGTATGTATACATGTGTACACTTATCAAAACATAAGTAAAAATGACACTCAACTTGGTTTCTATGGTCTATTAAAACCTCACAGTACCTTAGTAAAATAATCCTTGGGAGTAGAGAGGAAAAAACTTCAGTGTGAATTTAACTCAAGCTATAGAGTTTGCAACTTGTTTTTTATATACATGAATGAAAGAGAACTAGTTTTCTACAGCTGAAATCTTTTTTTAACCTTACTACTCCATCACAATCATCAAGTAACCACTGTCATACTGTATCCGCAGTGAACGAGAGCAATATTGCTGTGGCTGCTCTGATTGCAGCAGCTGGCTATCTTGAGTTCTACCTGCCTTTTTCTTATGGATAATGCTGTATCTCTTTGTTTTGTCCGGTTACTAATGTCGCCAGATTTGTAAGAAGTTAATTATCTCTGAGAACACTAAGCCTGTGTCTACTTCAGATGAAACTGGCCCATGAGTTTAGAAGTTATGTGAAATGGACAAAAGAACCCAGAAGTATTTGTGCCTTGTTTTCTTTGGAAATCAGGAAAGAACCCTGATTTCTAGGACCTCTCCCTTCCCTACAATTATTCTATTATAACCATATATTTCAAAAACATACCTGTGCCAACTGCTCTAGTATTTTCAAGCAGTGTTCTCGCTTATCATCTTCCTTTTTATACATGAAAATACATCTAACCAGGGGAGAGATGAGATTCCAACCCATATTCTTGATGATAACCTAAAAAAGATTTTCAGAGAATAAACCAAAACTAGACATCTTTTAAACCCAGAAAGATTATATCTATGAAGGCCAAAAAAGACGACAGGTTGATGTCCTGGTTTATAAACAAAAACAACATCATTGAAAATTTAACAACTATTACCAAAAAGGTCTGTATTCGATACAGGCTGTATTCTCTTCCCCATCTGTATAAACAAAGTTGCTTATTTTTTATAGTTTTCTTCAATGTGTTAATTCTAACATATCAAAATATATGTCTAAGAATTTATATGACAATACATTTAAGCCAGGACTGAGTAGAGGAGTTTTACTGAAAGAAAGAACACTTAGACAAATTGTGTTTAACCTGAGGGGATTGAGATCTTCAGTAGTTACTCCAAACTCACAAATTCAAAACCAGACTATGAACCCCATGTAATATTGCCAGAACATTCCATCCTTTGCTTTCTTTCTGAAATTTTTATTTATCTGTGTACAATTTAACATATTCTCCCCACTCCTCAAAATGCCTACACACATTACCATCTTTTACATTAGCATCAGCTTAGTTGGTTCTTACAGATTTGGCCAATATTATTATATCCACCTATGCTGTGTTGAGCCCAGACAGCAGCTAAGCACCCACCAACTGCTTACTCTCCTCCTGCAGTGGGATGGTGGGGAGAATCAGAAGAGCAGAACAGAATAACTCATGGCTTAAATTCAGTAAGTGAAGGACAAAAGAGAGCAGGGAGAATGACAAATCAACTCCCAAAAGCAAACTGATGCCCAGCCAGCCTCCAAGCAACAACTACTTTGAAGCAGGTCCCCATCCCCACCTGTTTTTATTGCTGAGCAGGATGCTATATGGTATGGAATTCTTTGATCAGTTCAGGCCTGCTGTTCCAGCTGTGCCCCCTCCCAACTTCCCTGCTTACTGAGAGGGCAGAGTGAGAAATTAAGGCCCTGATGCTGTGCAAGCACTGCTCAGCAACAGCTGAAACACTGGCATGTTATCAACACGGGTTTGGTCACAAATCTAAAACACAGCACCACACAGGCTGCCATGAAGCAAATCAGCTCCATGCCAGCCAGACCCAGTACACTACCTGAAATCCTGTCTGGCAAAAGAGGGACACAGTCACTTTCTCTCAGTTATGCTTTTGTCCTCTCTTTTCTCTCTGCTTAACCCACTGAAACCAGTTATTAATGGTTTTGTTAAGATTACCATGACTTGGTTTCTGTAAGCTACCTGAAGTTACACAAGAATGTGCAATTACACAGAGCAACTTAGTACCTATTCATATGTACAGCCTTGCTACACAGTGAAAGTAGTTTTCCCTTTTTAATAAGCAGCTTCATCTATTTAACTGAGTAATACAAGTAATACATAGTAATACATAGTGCAAACTTAAATACGTAGTAATACATAGTGCACAGGTAATACACAGTGCAAACTTAAAACTTACCTTATTTTTCTCATTTTGAATTACTTCTAATAACTGAGCTGCATACCCATCTTCTAAACATTTCTGACCGGCTACTTGAAACAGATTAAAATCTTCTCCTTTGAAGTCAGCTTCTTCCAGAATTTGCTAGAAAGAAAATATGCATGTTCAATCCCATACTTATAAAATGCAAATAAAAAAATAAGAAAATCCAAGCTTTCATATCAAAATTAAATATAGTGTCATTGCAACTTTTGTTAGATACATCTTTCACATATTAAAAAGGCTAAAAAGAACTACTACAGAAGACAAAGCAGGATTTCAAGAGCACTTTTTAAGTCTAGACTACAGCATTCTAATTGGAAGACGTATTTTCTACAACAACCTGTCAGGGATTTGTTCCTTCAGACAGATACTGCTGACTACAAGAATACTTCTTTTGCCAGAAAGCAACTGTCATCAAGCATCTTGGGTAGATGCTTGGTGCCATGGTTTAGTGGTGGCCTTGGCAGTGCTGGGAACAGTTGGACTTGATGATCTTAAAGGTCTTTTCCAACCTGGTCCATTCTATGATTCTGTGATAAGCACCATAGAGAAGTCAATGAAACACGAAGGCTCAACTTAGCTGACAGTGAGTTCAGCTAACAACTGTCTTCTGTTCTGGGGTCATTTTGGTTTTAATTACGATACATGAAGAGAAAGGCACGCTGCTTACACTTGTTACTTTTATGGAAAGAAAACTACTTACACATCTTTGTATTATGGCTTGAAGTTCATCAACTGCCATTGTAGTTTGTTCTTCTGGCATTGAAAACTAATTAAAGAGTGCAGTATTAAAACACATGAAATAAAAACAGAGAGAGACCACATTTTCTGCATCTTTTCTCACCAGAGAAGATCCTGCTCAGCCCTGACTAGAATGCTCTAACCTGATGCCTGAGATGTGCACAGCCGATACAACCACTGTGCCAGTTTATACCAACTAGTCCAATCAAGATTACATACACAATATCCTTTATTTCTTTCTAGTGTCTAAGTGGGGCTAGTCCAGTGGCCTTTTACCTCTAGATACTATAATCTAAAACTTTCTCGTTAAAAACAATTAGGTTAAACATATGAGTAACATTAAGTATATACGAAGTTTTACATAGTCAGGATCACAAAGCACAAAATCAAGCTTGGTTATCCCATGTGATATATCACAGTCATAATCTTTAAGATATGCCATATCCCTACATGTGGTTATATGATCACCATGAGCATCAATTACTTCCACACCTGGATAACTATTGAATAAACACCGAAGTTCTACATTTATACAGACACCTCAATGTAACATCCTCAAACTTTCCTCTTATGTTTGCCCTCTGCTGCATCACACAACATCTGGATTACTAAGATATAAACTGGATGTTTACAAAAAAGAGGCAAAAGCTTAAAAGGCATCTGTGCGTGGGTTTTATTATTTAAAAAATAAACAACTCGCATTCTATTCCCAACAGCCTATTTTAACATTTTCATGTCACTGCAACCTACCCATGTATCAAGCCTGTCATTTTAATTTGGTCATTATCACACGCACTTGATTACCACGCGTTGTAAATAAGCTCTTCATTTTACAGGATGTTACTAGTCCTCCCAAAACAATTTAAACATTTAACATCTGCACATTTACATTTAAACAAATTAAACATTTAAACAAATTAAACATTTAAATTTAAACAAACACGCTTCTGAGCGCCCATATTCCTGCATCTTCAACCCTCAGCCACTTCACAATGTACTCACAGCCCTGAAACAGGCCCTGAGTGAGCACCCCCCGAGCCGTCCATGGGATTTAGCTTTAATACTTAATCCAGTTTCTAATTAAGTCTTTGCAGAGGTTCCAGCGGCGAACTGACAGCAGCTGAACGCGTGAGACGGGAGCCT